AGCCACAATCGAATTTAACTAGGACGTTTAAAATGCAAAGATTCAAAATACCATTCGCTATGATCAAATTTTCACTTTCTGCTTTCGTTAATTAAATTACTTCGATTTTGTGAGAGTTTTTCGGGTCGATTTCCGGCACTTAACGTTATAAAATAACTTGAACACGTTTGTCACTATCAAAACGCTAGAAAAACAGATTGTTGAAACGTCGTCCGTGACATAAAGAGATTTCTAGGCCAAGAGGACAGAACACGTTCGTAGACTCGATAGTTCGATGACAAAGGTAGATGATCGAATGCAATTAGGTTTGTCCATCGTGGATCCAGGTTAATCGAGTACCATTAAGGCGATCGCTATCCTCCTTGAAACAACAGTTCTACTTCTTAAGAAAAACACGCTCCGTTCACTTCTAAAATCGTTAACGGAAAGTTCGGTCTAGATACGAGCTCCTCGCAGAAACAGTCGGGAGCGACGTTCAAATGAAATTAAAACTCGAAAGTCGGTTACAAGTTGTCATTACGTCGAGAACAATCTCTTCTCCTGATCTTTATTACGCTGCTCTGGAACAAGCGAGAAAAGATAAAACATTCATACGCGGCATGAACAGTATATTAAAAACGACGTTATTATTGTCGGAATGTGATTGCACTATAGACATTATAGTACTGAGACTGTGTTATTAACCCTTTCGCTACTACGGACCACTATAGTGGCTTTCCATATGATGCCACTGAGGTACTACGGACCACTATAGTGGCTTTCCATTTGGTGCCACTGAGGTACTACGGACCACTATAGTGGCTTTCCATAAGATGCATTATATTGCATAATGTTATTTCCTCTCATACTGTAAATTAAAGAGCGCATGCTAAGATGTTATAAAATACCCTGGAATACCAATTATTTATAAATACCCTTTGGAGAAAAATTTTTTCGTTCGAAAAATTCATTCAATTCAAACAGCTTAGGTTCTCCGCCGACCGCCGCGGAGTACCGACTTCCGCTGACGATCGGCGTCGCGTAGCGTGCAGTGATGTCGCAGCGCTCTGTTCAGTAGAAGTACCGCGACGGAGAATCCGCCCGTAGCGAAAGGGTTAAATGAATAGTATGAACGAGTGACGATAGAGTGACAAGAAAAGGAGATTGAGGTTGGCAGAAGTAAAACTGGGAGCGAAAGTGAGATTATAAAGGAAAAAATACAGATTAACTATTGTGAAAGTTTCTTTTTATTTTGTAGCCAAAATCAAAGAGTTGATCTTGTTCAGAAGAAATAAAGTTTTCCTTTCGTTCACTGCACGGTGGCAAATGTCTTAATAAATAACAATTATTAGACTGCGGATCTTTATGCAAAATAAAAATTGTCTGCATCAATTTCAAGAAATATCTGCCAGATAGGAAATTATCTTCATTTGTCCACCGTTTAAAATTGTAGCTATTCGTTTTCGTCATAAATGCATAAAATTCGCAGTCTCGTTATTATAATTGCGTTCTCGTGTTCTGCGATTTATGAAATAAAATATTTCGCAATCGGAGTTTAATGTTACCGAGAGACCGATGCTAAAAGTGGAACGATCGAATGCAATTAATGAAACAGAAGTATTAATCGCGAGAGAATGCCGTTGTTCAATATTGAACGTTTTCTGGCATATTTTATATCGAACTCGTTTTTCCGGAAAAGTTTTCGTCTCAAAATGTAATCCTGGCAAGGATGCAGGAAAAATTGCAGGACTCTGCAGCGAAGGTCCCAATTTCTTGGTCGCCATTAGACGAAATCGAAAAAAACCCCGAATCCACGAAAAACTTGCGAACTCTTTCGAAAAGCATCCCGAAAATAAAAATTGAAATTCCTATCGGAGACTATTATTAAGGTTGAAGACATTTCACGTTCCGTATCATTACCAAACTGCGAATTTTATGCATTTCTGACAAAAATGAGCCGCAGAAACACGAAATCTTGAAAACACAAAGGATTCAACAATAGATGCTGCTACATTTTTTTCGTACATCGTACAACAAAGTCGCTCAGGACTGTTAATAGTCATCAAAAAGTCATTAAACTTCCGTATAAATAATTTGACGTTTCAGTTAACCTGACGTGAGAAAGAAATTACTTGAAATTCGAGAAATTTACAATAAAATATATAATATTGTAGGGATTATATTTTAATCGATCACCCTCAAATGTTTATATATAACTAGAAAACACAACAACAATTGGATAAAAACAAGAACGACGACAAAAACAACAAGAAACGACACTGAATTCTACTCGCTGCAATATCCCGCCGCGGCGAGTTTGCTATTTCCGTCGAAAGCTTGCAATCGTAGAGAATAAAAACCGGCGCAGAAACTTTAAAATCAACCCAATACCTTCGAGCGAACATTTTTCCGTGGCGATCGTCGCTGTCGATAAGACTCGACGGAAGTTCCTAGGCCCGGCGAGACCCTCCGATGTAACGCGGGATTTGTCGGCGAAGAACGCCGCGACGAGGGGTGGGAAAGGGGTGACTCCTGGCAAGCTCGGTCGATGCACCGAGCAGAGAAAGTTTCGAGACTTTCGTAAGTGCATTAGCTGGAAAACTGCGAGGTCGTCGTCGTCGGGATTCGCGCGCACGTGCCCTCGGCGTGGGCGTGCTTGATACGCGAGCATAAACGCGGGCACGAGCGCGAGCGCAGATCGCAGATCTCGCGTCGGCACAGTGAGACACTCGCCAGGCAAATATGGGCCACCCCCAGATGCATAATTCGCGTAAATTGCTTGCATCTCCGACTGCATTCTAGCCGGCGTCGATTCCGGGCTGGATGTCGCGAGCTGATACGACATATCTCTGGCTGCCGCGTTGCACCGCGTTGAACCGCGCCGCGCCGCGTCGCGTCGCGAAGCCCCTCAACCGGGAGATGGAAACGGCAATGTTATTAGAATCGTCATAATCGGCATCCATGCGAACCGGCCTCGCAATAATGGGCGCTCTTGTATTCCGAAACCGTTCCTCTGCCTTATATTTCGCCAGCGAATTTGAACGCTCTCTGACATTTGCATGCCTCGACCTCGGAATAACGAAATTCTTACCGAATTCTGACTCCGGCGAAGTGCAGAATGGACGCGCAGTCACTTCGAAACCGGCTAAAATTTACGCTGCACACAGCTGTCAAGAATTCCCTCGAATTTCCCGACGCTTGTCTCCAAGAAATCGTGCCCCGTTTTCGACTCCAACAGACGACACTGCTCGACCTAGATTATTTCATTATCTCTTCAGAAATTTTCGCTTTACAACTAATACAATCTTCGTGCATTGTTTGATGTTAATCGTCAAGCAATGCCATACTCGCGTTTACATTTTACGCCACGAGTCCTATCCATAGTTACGTCGATCAGCATTCATTTGTACAGCGATCATTTCCCAAATTGAATTTAGATTTAGAAACAGAATTTATTTCCCCTAATAGACAATTTCTGATTTGTTTTCTATGGTTCTATTTTCTTTCGTTTCTAGACTTTGATAACGGAAGAGTCAAATTTTGCTTCGATTCGGAAGAAATTAATGGCAAGTGTACAAAATATTCCTCTCGCAAGTCTAATTCGTCCGGAACAATATATTGGCCTCTTTAAATTCTTTGAATCTTTACACTAATTATCCCTCGTACTGCGGTTGCCAGGTGATTTCGATCGAAAGTATTTAAATCGTTCAATTTTCAGGAATCATAAGTTTTCAAAAGTTTTCAGGAATCATAACGAATATAAATCGCTGCAGCATTGGGAACGCCGGGAAGGCTAATAAATCTGCAAGGAATAGCTTCAAAAATATATTTGGAAAAATTACTGTACGAGGTCGTCAATAGTATAGTCGATCCGATCCCGATGCACTCGAACCATCCAAACCCGAAGCTCCAGCGTCGATTATCCGTTCTTCGTCGAGACACCGCGCTGTGGTTGACGCGCTCCGATCACGATCACGCGGGCAATTGTGCGTCGAACGAGATACGCGACGGCGTGTAATTGACGGAACTCAGAAACCGCAAGCCGGTCGGAATTATTCGACTCCACGATTATTTCGCTCGATCGGAGACGCTCCGCGCGAGGCGTCTCCGCGTCGGCGGTATTTATTACGCGACGTACGCGCGATCCGCCGGAACGCGAGCCGGCTCAGAGGGTGGTTGAATTTAATCGGAAAGGTTTCACCGCGAAAAGCGATCGCGTTATTGCAGAATCGAGTGCGTTATCCGTGCCGACGTTAAACCGCGTCACGCACTCGGAATTCCTTCGCAATTACTCCGCCCGAAAATAATTTTCTCGGCGTGTGACCGACATACAACCCGCGGTTCACGGAATACCTTTCGCCGAATGGATCAGTTATTTTCATTAACGGAATTACGCGGTACGCTTTGTATTTTTCGGCGGAATTTATTTTCAAGTGCTTCACGAACGGACCAATTTTAACGGATGCGTGAGGATTTTTCCAAATTCTCTGATCACCGTGATCGCCGCTTGCTGAAATGATTCTGCCGTAAATAGCTGGCCCTGGATGATATACTGCAGTTGTAACGCTGCGGTGTATTTAAACAAATTATGTGCAATTAATTGTATGAGTTTATTGCGCGGAAATTTGCAGAGAACGTAATCAATAATTTATTTAACGTGTAGTTAACTGTACGTGTTAACGGTACATGTAAATGTATCTTCGGAATGCTCGTGCATTCGATAATGATGATAACAATTGCATTCAATCGCACGGGCGTTAAGTAAATGGTTGCTCGTCGTTATATTAATATTTCCTGTTCTGAAAATCTGCTTGATATTCTGCTTTGAATTTCATAATACAATTCGTTATCGGTATCTGAACAATCTGAAACGAAAATTCTCGCGTATTTCGACATGCAAAGGTCCGGAACGAAGATCATTTAGGGGCAGTTAAGCGAAACGATGGTATACCGACTACAATAGAATTCTGCAACGGGTTTAGGCGGTTGCGCAAACTTGACACTTTTGCATTTGATTGCAGGGCTTGTTTGCGAGGATTACCTTCCGTGAGCCGCTGTTCGTCGGCGGACCAGGAAACACAACCGGCCTCGAGCGACTTCCGGTGAGAACCGGATTTAAGGGCTGCGTTCGGCATCTGGAAGCCAATGAACACCACTATCGATTCCCTCTTGCACCGCAGGGAGACGCGACGAATGGTTTCGACGTCGGTGAGTACAACTTAGAAATTAAACTGCGGCACTAACTCCTTCTGGTAGTAGGGCAATTTCTTCTCTTACGGTTATGCCAGTCCTTTGACCTCGAAACTTCTCCGTTCGCGATTCTTCCGCGCTGGAATTCCTCGGGAACCCACACTGCTCGGGCGAAACCATAATTTTCCTATCATTTCTCAATATATAATAATAATAACACACCATGACAACGAAATTAAAAAAAAAATTAAATTTTTTAAAGAGGTATTAATATCTCTGCCGCATCATGGTGTGTTATTATTATTATATATTGAGAAATGATAGGAAAATTATGGTTTCGCCCGAGCAGTATTTGAAAGTATCCGTCTGTGAAATCCTAAAAGTCCTCGATGTACACTTATTGTCGAAATTTTATTGTCGGTTTTGCAAATATTAAATGTTTATTAAAAAGCGGTGTTCTTCGAAATTCACCAATTTTCTCTCGTTAGATGCGAAGAAAGCTCGATCTATGACCTGCCGCGGATAGTGTTTTAATTTGTTAACTCTTTGAGCCATACGATTTTTAAAAAAAATAAAGACCCGAGCCGTGCAAAATATACCATGAAAAGTCTATCGTAAATAATTCCTAAGAACAGTTTTCGCGTATAGGTAAACAGTATAAAACCGTTCTAGGAAGTTACAGAGTATGTCTCGATAATTGCTCGCACGTTGATGCACGGTATAATGCTGCTACAATAAATTCTACTATGTTTCGTAATTCAAGATAATTCCGGAAAATTGTTCGAATGTATTGAAACCGCGCAAAATCACTGCAATAAGTTGCAACGAGTCTCAATAATTATTCTCACATGAGAATAGAGCGTAGCGTTACTTTCTTAATTGTTACGAGGTTCCTCGAAATGCTATAAAGCCGTAACCCGAAATGATTAGGCGCTCTCACGTAAACAGACCACTTAGAATTGCGCCAGCGAGTGATAGCAATCTCGATAATTGTCCCTTCGTGTATAAATTATTAGATACTGTTCTCGTAAATCGCAATGGCTCTAGAGATTAACTTCCACAGATATTAGCTAGCAGACCTGCCATGATTTCTTATGTTCACAATGCGAGTGTTCGCGTTGCAACAGAAAAGATGAGAGTCGCTTGTGTTGGAAATGCGCCCATGCAATCTTCTACGGTGTGTGTACGTTTTTGCGTGTGCACGTAGAACCCGGATTATCCGAACTGTTGATATCTGAATTCTTTATTTTTAAATGTGTACGTAAACAAATCAGTCTGACGCAATCTGTACACAAGAATATATGTATGTATAATCTGGAACATTGATAATACAGGGTTCCCCGGAAAGAATCATCCGATTTCAAAAATTTATATTTTAAAAAATTACACACAGAAAATTATAATTCAAACACGAATATAACGGGAAAATGTGCGAGTTTTACTTTTTATTATTTTTTTCTCATGTACCAAACCGTTGGATTGGTCGCAGTTCATCCGATAATATGGTCCTACACAGTTGGCCTCCTAGATCACCCGACCTAATCCCATGCGACTTCTTCCTTTGGGGATTTGTGAAGGATCTTGTCTTTGTACCACCTTTACCTACAAGTGTAAATGAACTGAAAAAACGCATTTGTGATGCTGTACAAACAATTACCAGAGATACATTACACCGTGTTTGGCAAGAACTTTCATATCGCAATGATATCATACGTGTAACGAAAGGAAGTCATATTGAACACTTGTAAACAAAAACTCACACATTTTCCCGTTATATTCGTGTTTGAATTATAATTTTCTGTGTGTAATTTTTTGCAATATAAATTTTTGAAATCGGATGATTCTTTCCGGGGAACCCTGTATAATTGTTCCATTATTCAAATAGAATAATGCGTGATTCATTAGCTCGGATAATCGTGGTTCTACTGTAGTCGTAAGTTCTACTGCCGAATTGTGTTCATATATCTAACAACGCGGAGAGGAGAATCGTGTTATGTAGCACGGCGATTCATTTTGGATTCTGGAATTTCTGCGGACGGTAATGGCGACGTTGAAACACCGTGGTTCATAATTAGCTGTGCAACCGTTCGCACTTTGTTTTCGCCGGAGGAAACCTGTATCGATTGCTCGGATTAACTTCTATGTCGCGGTACACAACAGGTGTCACATGAATTCGGCTAGGACGTCCCTCAACCTTCGTTCTACACCGTCCTTATTCGCCGGCGAATATGTACCTTCCACCCCTCACGTTTTTCATACAAAGAAGATGAACGGCGTCAGCAGCGTGTCGATAATCCGATTGACGTGGAAACAATGTAATTTAAATACCTCGTTCGACGCTTCGTAGATTTGTTTCATCGACGCGATAAGAAAGCATCTTCGCAATTTGAAAATTTCATCCAGATACAGTTCCTTGATATCTAGACATTTTCTATTATTATTCATTTATTCATGTATAAAGGTAACTTGTTACAGAAGAAGTAACAACAAATAGAGAGGTTTTACATAAAAACAGAAAAGGGGAGAAATATCTTAAATATCGCATATTTATTTCTTTTTTTTCTGCTTGTTTTGTTACATGCATATATACATAAACACACACATATACATATAATACAAAGTAAGAGGAAAAATACGAAGTGTAGCGAGCATGATAGGTATACAGGGTGTCCCAAAGTTATGGTACTTCCGGGAAATTAGAGGTTCCTGGTGTCATTTGAAGCAACTTTTTCCTTTACAAAAATGTTCTCCGAGACATCGTTAACAAGTTATTAACGAAAAACACTGACCAATGAGAGACGAGCCTGGCTGGCGCGAGGCGATCGAGCCAACGAGCGGACGAAGCTCAGTTCCGCTGATTGGCTCGGCCGTCTCGCGCCAACCGAGCTCGCTTCTCATTGGTCACTGTTTTCCATTAATAACTCGTAAATAAAGTGGCGGATTACATTTGCGATAAGGAAAAAGTTATATCAAATGACCTCAGGAATCCCTCATTTCCCGCAAGTACCATAACTTTGAGACACCCTGTATAGTAGGTATAATAGGTGAGAGATTATATCAGACATAAAAAAGAATAAAAGAAAAAGGATAGAAAGAAAAATAACAGACGTTATCGTAAAACGCGTGATAACGAGGCAATAAGATTGGCTTCTCCAGATTCGAAGGAAGTGACCGCGTCAGCAAGGAGAACAAAGAGAATTTATTTTGTCGGAACAGGTCGGAGAACCCGCGAGCACTTATCGAGGGAACGAAGTCGCGACGATCGCGAAGCCATGGACGATTTGCTTTGACATTTCCTTTCGGCTTCGAAGCCATCCAGAGCACCGTTTCTCTTTTGAGGAGCATCTTCGCCGCGCTCACTCGCGGTCGTCCCTCTCGACGACCAAAAAATCCATTGGCCTCGGGAATGCGCGCTCCTTTGATCTATTGTGCATTCTGCACCGAGAATGGAGATATACGCGGCGTGGTCGGAGGTTTATCGTGCTGGACAGAGCCCGAGTGGACGCCCTTAGAAGCTGTTCCCTCGTCCCCAAGACCGAGTCGACCCCCAAGAGGTCATGCTCCGAAGGGTTATTCGTATCCCCTTGAGCCTTTCAATGGAGATTTGGTAGTCGATTGACCGGTCGCCGGACGTTCCTGGCGCGACAAGATAAGGAACCGCGCGAGTCCTCTCCGTAGACGGGATTATTGCTTTGCGCGAGCGAGTATCGGATTCTCAGCTTGCGATGGCATATCCAAGCTTGATTGGGTTCCACCGGGCTACTCGTCTTTGTTACTGCTCTATCTAATTTCGATTCTGCTGCGGGTCGAGTTTCCGGTCCCTTCCATTTCGTTTCTTTTGTTTCGCTACGCCAGCGTTCGGCGTATTTTACTCGAGTAACGAATCAAATTTCCTTCGAAATATGTACGATTATTCGAATACAATTTTATTCGAAATTCGAAATGTCGTTCGGATATAACTTATAACTAAACTGCGGATCTTTATGCAAAATAAGAATCATTTACGTTAATCGTAAGAAATATAAATTAGATGAAAATATCTTTTCTCTTTTAACTCGAGAAAGATAACCTACGTCGCAGAGGCGCCTGCGAAATAAACAACTGACTGCACCGTTTTCATAGAGGTCTAGTGATTTAAGTTTAAAATTACTTAAAATATAAAAAAATATAATATAAATGCATTTTATTTTTACAATAATGCCAAACCTTTAAAATGACTAGATTAACTTAAATAAATATCCATTGTTAGTATAAAATTGACGCCTTAGAAAAGCATGCGCCTCTGAAGCGTATGGTTGTCTTTTACGTACGTTGTCATATGGTTATCTTTCTAGGGTTAAGAATCTTAATAAGTTAAAGACAATGTAACACTCTCTATTTTATCGTAAACGCACAAGGATCCGCAGGCTACTTATAACTAGATTCCTTATGCAAAATAATAATTGTCTGCATCGATTGCGAAACGAACGAACCAAGTATGATATATTCTCTCTTTCTTAAATAATTTTAACAAGTTGTAATTAACATATCAACATTTTTAGTTTCTTCTCGAGTTTGTTCACTACAGTGATTTCTCCTGCAAATGTTAAATTTCGCGTTGCTGTGAATTTCTCTGTGCTAGTCCTACGCCTATGTAATTTGTTGCTACGTCGATGCTAAGGATCGACGAAGTTCCCGGAAGACAGCGCAAAATGATCTGTTTAGGTGTGAGTCAGGTAAGAAAAACCGCGGTGCTACAGGTTACGTGACATGCGGCCTCCGAATTGCCTTCGAATCGTGCCATATGACCTTCGAATTGCCTTCGGAACGTGGCAAAAAAATTAGAAATAAAATATTAATGTACACCGGCATGCTGGCCGCTGCCTTTTTTGCGGACTGCCTCGAGCTTCTGTAAAAACGAGTCGCGAGACCCGAAGAATCGCGACTTAGTATTCTCAGATCTGCCGATTTCAATTCCGACCTCCGAACATTTCTGGGAGAAATTACTGCATTCTGTGTTTCTCCGAACACGTTCTTCC